GTTGGTGGTTCGACTCCCGGTCTCCCCACATGCCTAAGTGTCCCTGAGCAAGACACTGAACCCCGAATTGCTCCCGGTGGCTTGACTAGCACCGTTGTGTGGCAGCCTTGTCGTCATCGGTGTGTGAATGGGTGAATGGTGTATGATCTCCCTGTAAAAGCGCTTCGGCCAGTGCAACACACTGTGAAAATGCGCTATATAAATACAGTCCAGTCCAAACAGATGCAATTAATACAGGCAATGAGTGGAGGATAGGAGGGCTTCTTAAAGACAAACTAACAGGTCTGTGAGAGCCAGAATTCTTGCTAGTTGGTAGGTGATCAAATACTTATTTTATGCAATAAAATGGAAATTGATCCTTGTCAGTTCCAGGACCAGCTCAGCAGATGGGATGCAGAGAGGTCACATGTGAGCAGAGATGATCAAAAGCATGTTGTAGAAGAGGAAGAAGAGGAGCTGCCCATGGTGAGTGTCCTGTTGTAAGCTTTCTGACCATCCACGGTTAATGTGAAGCTTTTTTGTGCATTTATTTCCATTCTCCCTGTCTGCAGATCACACAGATCTTCAGTTTGGCTAATAACCCGGCTGCAAGTGGTGTTGACATGGAGAACCAGCTAATGAAACTGCTACGCTCTTTGCGCTCCTCAGTGCTGCCAATCCTATGGTATGCCATAATGGTGGAAGGCCCACAGCTGCAGCTCATCCAATGTTCTAAACAGTCCAGCATGACCGACACCACGGTGCTGATTGACCCAGGCTTCTGCTATCAGGTCATTGTCCAAAAGCAGCCTCTGCTCCCCACCCATCCATTGTACGACAGCTACCCATCACGATTAACCTCGGTGACTGAGGTGGTCAATCTGCTTCTAGGCCTGGAGAACTATGCTGTGTGCCAGGGGCTGCCCCCCAAAGAGCCATTATCTAGCAAAGATCCGATCATACTGGAGCGGGCATCAACATGTGATTTTTTGGTTAAAAAGAATGTGAGCATTTGTAGTAACTGCAAAGCGCTGCAAAGACTTTAATTTCAGTACAGACCGAATGTAGTGTGTGGCCACATTGGAGACCACCAGTTCTCTGGTGCAACTTTGTGCCATTTTGGTAGTGAATATATACACACACACACACACACACACACACACACACACACACACACACACGACACACCACAGCATCACCTCTGCACTATTATCTACAGCATCACCTCTGAACTATAATATTGTGATTTGATCATTTGAAGAATTGCCTAAGGGATCCAGGACCTGTGACATTATAATCCAGGTGTGCTTCTCGGACGTTATCTGTTGGTGTAGGGCTTTGTTTGTGACTCTTAATGTCAGATTTTGGGCAGTGTAAAAGGCTGAGCTGAAATTGAGGTCACTGTTGAGCCACTCTTACATGAGGAACTGATAGCACTCACTTATATTACACCCCAAATGTTCCTTTTGATATTTGTCTATACATCACCAACACTAATTGTTTAAACATCTAAATTATTGGGTACATCAGCAGAAAAAAAATAAGAGGACGATTAAAAAAAATGTCTTGTATACTGATTTAACACTGATTTAATTAGACAAATTGTGCTTCTACAAAATGCATTCATTTCCCAGTGGACTTGTCAGTGTTTTTTTAATATTACCTCACAGCGGATGGTAAAAAAGAAAAGGCAAAAATACTTCTCCACAAATTGACCAAAATAAGTACAAATATAAATCACAGTAAATCTGCATAAGTGTAAGCCCCCTTTACTATGAGACACCTAATCATTAGAGGGAGATCCAGTTAAGATCACACAATATAATATGTGTAACAGAGACCCAAATCACTGCTTCACTCAAATAGAAGAGCAGCTGTTGCTTCATGTCAGAAGCAAAGAGAAAGCCAGGGGCCAACCACAAAAAAACAACAACCTCAAAACAAGTTTGTGTGGTCCGTGGTCTGATGGACACATCAGTTCTCAAACATTTACTTCTCAGCTTGAAAAGTCCCCCAAAAAATCCTGGCTGATTGAGAGCAGCTTTGTACCTCCACATAATCCTGACTTGATGTGTGTTATGTGTTTGTAATCATTTAGATAGGTTTTATATGAATGAATATTTTCAAATTATTACAAAACGATGAATTAGCGTTCCTCTCCTAGTTGAGATTATTTCACTGAATGATAATTTTTGGTCAAGGTACTTTTGAATTTACCAGGCCGATTTTGATTGGCAGACTCAACATTGGAAATATGCAAAAACTTAACAATACAAGATCAGAGTATGTACAACTTCTTTTAGTATATATTGCCGGTGTACAATCCGTTTTCCAAAATATTGTCCAATGAATTTGACGTAAACATATCTTACAATAAACAAATATGTTAATCCTCCCTAAACTAGATTATTCTATATATATTCTTGCGTAGTAACATGATGGTTAAGTAATATTTTAACTCGTGTGGATTTTGTCATACTGTTCTTAACCCCCCCTACCCCCCAAATTTGGGTGTTTATGGTTTATCTTGCCTTCAAGTAATAGTATAGATTTTGAAATGTTTAGGATTGTTAACTGTTCTTTAAAAACTATTGTTAATTAGCCTTTGAATTAAAACCTAACTGAATGGATTGAAACAAAGATTTGAATATCTAGTCTTTGTGTTGTTGAGGCAGTGTACAAATAAATGTTTCTTTGTAACCTGTTTTTATGACTGAAACATCTTGAGTAGTTTAGTGTTCACAGACTCAAACACTGAAGGCCAAAGGGTTTTATAACCACCCTGTGTGTTAGAGGTTGTATGAAATGATGGGAATGTTTCAGTAACCTACTGTGGTTTAGTTATTGGTTTTAGCAAGTGGAAACCAAAGCTAATGCCTTTAAATTAAGACGCAGACAGTTTGTGTTGCCTATGTAGGAAATAGGGTATTATCTCTGCTCCTTAATCAGCCTTGCTGTTAGCCAGGCGGCTAATATTTTTACTTTTAGCACAACCCAAAAATAACTTGGTATTGTTTTACACACGTATATAAGAGTGCTAGCTTTTTCGAACAGGTACGAATTTCCTGCACTTATACTCTAAACTGTTTTAAAACAGTCTTGATAGAATACTTGGGTGCTCCTCAGGGGAAGGCCCTTGAGGCGGCACAGTTCATTAAAGCATCTAAAGTGTTTTTGACCAGTCAGCGCCACTGTGCGCGTGCTGACGCCACAGCTGGATAACAATATTCCTATGGCTGGGTTAAGTGGCGCGGTTGAACATCTGGGAGGGGCGTCGTTGCTGTGACAGTGTAGTCCGTTGGCCGTGTGAAATAGAGGGCTGTCGTCCGGTGCGGAAGGGAAACCTTTCTTCCTTCTGCAAGCAGGTTTGCTGAGATGCGCAGGGCTCCGACGCATCGGAGGTCGCGAGGCTGCTGGTGAATTACAATTGGGGAAGGAAGCCACCATGAGCGAGAAGTCCTTTTCTTATGTGACGATTTGCCGCACATTCTAGTAATTAAAGCTGTGTTTTGGAAGCGTCTGCCCTATAGTGTCACGGCGGAATGAATTTTCTCGGTTTGGTTTTGCTATAGAGGACCACGGAGACCTCCGAAGGCACCGGTCATGCTCTCTGGTAAGAGGGGGTTTCTGCTCCAAAATGTCCATCCCATCCTAACTGGGCGTATTAATGAATAGCCGTCAAGACAATCTGTTTTTTCTAGAAATAGCTTGGCCTACAAATCAGTCTAAAAACGTTATGTACTATTTTATTTATTAATTTTGACGCGCATACACGTCGTGTCAGTGAGTGACACACCTGAGATATGTTATTGCTCCCATTAATTAGTCCGTTGTGTTTTATTATCAGCCGGTGCTTCCGTCTGCAGCGACTATGCAGATGCAGGATGGCTGCTGTTGCAGCCCCAGTAGCCGGGCTTGTTGCGGGAGCACATGCTTTACGCCTTCCTAATAAGACGTCTGTAAAATTAAATGCAAGGACGTCTGAGAGTGAATCCAATATGTCGTTTTCATTTGTACTTGTACTGTTTCCGCGCCTGTAAATAAGAACATGCTGTTTGTGTAGCAGGAAATTGCTGGATTGCAATCGCATCTGCATGAATCCAAATGGGAAGCTTTAAAGGAGTAAAAATCTGCCATATGCTTCCTAAGAATACACAACTTCTCCCTGTTGCCTGCATTGTTAAGGAGCAAAAGCTTTGCTGTCTGCTGGGCCTTATTGATTTCAGTGTTTTCAGTTAATACTGTTCTCATGCAGCAATATTAAACCCTTGTTATTAATAGATGCCTGAACAAGGATGTCTGTCTGAATCTGGGGAAGAAAAAAAAAAACTCATCCAAGCCTGTTGTGTGGGTCTGTCAGTCTTCAGGGTGATCTACTGCTCGTCCACCTCTTGGTGTATGGGGAAACACCTCAGTGTTTTCAGAAGAGGAGCTTCCTTTTCTACTGCCAAGTGCTGAATGTGCTGATTGTTCCGTTTTTAGGGTTCTTGTATTTACAGGGACTATCAATTCACAGACCATTAAGCCATTTGCAAAGAGGGTTGTGTTAGGTATTTTTAGTCAGATAGAAATTAGATAGATACTTTATGTATTAGAAATGTTTAGTGGAGATAGGATGTCTAGTTAGATTGTTAAATGCTTAGGCATGCTTATGAGTTTCTACAGGGTACATCTGGTCAAGGATAACTAGAGAGAAGAGTTGATGACTGTCAGCAGACAGGGTGTTTAATATTATTATTATGACGTGTATAACCGTAGCCTTAGCCATAATATGTTCTTATGTTTAATATCACGACATGTTACTAGAAGTCTGTGAGAATGTTTTTAGCTACACACCACTTAATCATCAGACACACACACATTGATTTGCTTCATGTTTTGACTACTGCTAGGGCCAGCTGCAAAGCTGGTAACAGAGACGTCTCGGTTGACGTTTCTGTGTAGTATGGGGCTAGCCCAACCGAGGGGATATAATGTATAGGCCTGGTTCGGTTCAGGGGCTTTCATCTTTCATCTGCCTGCGTGCAAGTTGGAGGTGCAAGATGCCTGAGCATGTAATGTTAATTTTTTCCTGTGTTCATGGAATAAATCAGCACTGTTTTGTAGTTACTTGGACTGTCTCCTCTCTCAGAATTCAGTATGGTAAAAAGTATCGGGTACAACAGTTGGTTCATCTGTTTTATTGCAGGGGAAGCTAGGAGACCATTCACACTTGGTTTCTTCGTGACCAGGGGGATTTGGACACATGTTGGGGGTTTGTTTTACACCCCTTTCTGTTCACTGGGTGTCTTCAAATGAGTAGCATAGTACTCTGCTTTCCTATAAAGCGCTCCCTGTGGTTTTCATGCAACTTTTTAGTGCTACAATTCAATCAAACACCATGAAATTGGATCTTGACCCAGACTGGTGGAGATGCAATGTTATTCTTTTCCCATTTTTTGACACTTTTAAGACGGGGACTGGTACACTTTGAGAGTCTGGTTCAGTAGTAGTTGACTGGCAAACATGCAGGTTTATTGAGAAGTGTGAAAAGTCACACAGTCACCTCCTGATCCAGATCCAGGCTCTTTGCATGGATTTAAAATGAAAATATGGCTTCATCTAAAGTGTCTTGGTGCTTAGTGTATCAGCTTAGGGAATCAAGTCCCAGACCTTATCAAGAGTTGAAAACACACCAGAGCAGTAGTGTCATCCTTAGTTCCTCAGTTATAACAGACATGAAAGTACAAAAGAATCAGATATGGCTGTAATGCATTAATTCAGTATGGTAAAAAGTATCGGGTACAACAGTTGGTTCATCTGTTTTATTGCAGGGGAAGCTAGGAGACCATTCACACTTGGTTTCTTCGTGACCAGGGGGATTTGGACACATGTTGGGGGTTTGTTTTACACCCCTTTCTGTTCACTGGGTGTCTTCAAATGAGTAGCATAGTACTCTGCTTTCCTATAAAGCGCTCCCTGTGGTTTTCATGCAACTTTTTAGTGCTACAATTCAATCAAACACCATGAAATTGGATCTTGACCCAGACTGGTGGAGATGCAATGTTATTCTTTTCCCATTTTTTGACACTTTTAAGACGGGGACTGGTACACTTTGAGAGTCTGGTTCAGTAGTAGTTGACTGGCAAACATGCAGGTTTATTGAGAAGTGTGAAAAGTCACACAGTCACCTCCTGATCCAGATCCAGGCTCTTTGCATGGATTTAAAATGAAAATATGGCTTCATCTAAAGTGTCTTGGTGCTTAGTGTATCAGCTTAGGGAATCAAGTCCCAGACCTTATCAAGAGTTGAAAACACACCAGAGCAGTAGTGTCATCCTTAGTTCCTCAGTTATAACAGACATGAAAGTACAAAAGAATCAGATATGGCTGTAATGCATTAATGCATGTATAGCAATGAAAGTAAGTGCATGGCCGTGACTGCACATCATAAGCAGCTCTGAACTCCTCCAAAATCAACAAAGCAGATTACAGCCACAGTGCAACATGAAAATGACTCTGGAATACATACAGAAATCCTTCCAGGTGTTAGAGAGCAAAGGGAAAATAAATACAAACAATCCCCTTGGATGTTACAGCCACATTCCTTTCTTTATTACTCCCCCCCATCTCAGCTCAGCAGAATCCAGGTGGATAGCAGTGACCAAGATTGCTTTGTTTCACCTGTGGTAGTTGTGTCAGATGTGCAAAGCTGAGCGTCAGGGCCAGGAAGGAGAGACGGTGAGCCACACAACTGGAAAGTGTGCCGATAAGTGTTAAATATCAATATTTCATGGATGTAGAGAGAACAAAAAGAGATCACATGAGGTAGGTGTTCCAGTCACCTGATCTTTTATAAGCTGCTCTCAGTTCATTGGTTAGGGTTTAGTCAGGTGGAGGAAGTAACTCCTCTCCAAAGAATCCTCTATATGCCCCAGCTTATCTCCTTTTCATATAAAAAACAACTGAATGTTGATATTTCTATTCCCAATCCTCATCATCATATTATACCAATGGGGATATATGAAATCCTTGGAGTTTGATGTTGGATGGCAGGGAGAGTGTGCAGATAAAGGTGGCATTACTGTTCTCTTACAACTGAATAAAACAAAGAGAGTGGACACATCAGGAAACACAATGGGATGCCACTTAAAGCGCTGTGGGAGCCAGCTTTGTAACATGTGATATGGATGTTTCAAAGCTGCACAGTCCGCAACACTGCTCACCTAGTTCTGACTCCTCACAAACAGCTGTGGGACTTTCATGTTTGTCTTACAGGAGCTGTATGCTTGTAACCCTCTCTCTGGTTACCATGTATAAGTTGACAACAGCAGCAGCTGTGTCAACACGAGGGCCTCCAACCTCACCTGTGCACACTCTTACGTTGTGCATCCATTGCCAGTTGGATCAGGTTGCAAAAATATCGACTACAACATATTGTCATAAATTTATCAGTTATATAAATGCTGTTGACAACAGCGGCCTGTTCCTCGGACATTTGGGCCAGACAACCTGACAGCACACTTTTTAAAAGCAGGGAGCCATCAGGAGAAAATTGGACATAAAACTGTTGCCTGCAGGAACTGGGCTTTGCTATGAGTGTGGTGATATGTGGATTCTAAGGTGAAGAAAGAGCAGTACAGTTTCTGGTGTGGACCTACCTTACAGGCTTCAGTGTTTAGCCTGTCAGACTTGAATATTAAACTCCTTGCTGATTTGCATTCGTGTGATGCACGCTGCACAGGGGCCGCTCACTCTCATTGCACAGCTCATGTTTTAAACAACATGGCTCTGACAGTGCTGTCTATACCACCATCCAGAGCCTATCCCTCATCCCCGGACACACGTTAAGTCAAAGTATTTGATGATTGTGCTGTGTTCTTATCTCTCTTATACTCATATCTCCTTTGATCCTTCCTGTAATGCCACTCTTGCGACACTGTTTACCCGATTCTTCATTGTCCCACCGTCTTTGCTGCAGGCTTCTCTTTGGAATGTGATGCAGGCTTGGCTTGTTTTACCTGTACCTCTCTGCACACAGCTGCACACCAGATGTTTGCACTTCATGTCAACCTGTGAGACCACTGATTTTCTCAGGTGTGTCCTGTTTGTTAGACTCAGTGGTCAGAGGGTGACCTGTTGCATTGGTGCTCACTGTTCCTGTAGCTTGTGTCTGTGGTTGTTTGGGGGAGCTTTATTGTGTGTGTTTGTGTGTTTGGATGTATTTGAAACTTACTACTACTGTTTATGTCCTGTGCTTTGGGGAGATCTCTTTTCAGATCGTGTCTCATAGTGAAATGTCTCTCTTTGTATTTTTCTTCTTTGTTTTTATTTTTTATTTTTACTGGACTTTCTTTTTGTTTTGACAAACTGCATCACTACAACTGTGCTCATCATGTGACACGCTGGTCCAAAAGGAATCACTGGAAAAGAATTGGCTGTAAAACTGAAAATATTTTTCTGAGCCTTCCAGGTCAGGTTAAATCTCGTTTTTTATTATTAGAACTTCATTCACTGGGTCAAAATCATTTGGAAAATCTAGGATATATTTATTTTATCCCATGCATGTGTGTGAAGCCAACCAGAAGTCAGCTGCCTCATCCGGCGGAGTCTTGGCCTAACACAAGTACGCATGCGCTAGCGGCCCAAAATGTCAAAGCATGTGCAATATAATAATTTCAGTAATTTTTGTAGTTGGAATCCAGAAGCATGAAGAATTTTTTTGAGTATATGCCACTGAGAAACTTTTCGAGGAGTGAACTGAGTGCCATCTTGTAATCCGGTATCCATGGTCATAACTATTGCTGCTAACTTGCTGCTAAACTTTTTTTCTGTCAATTCCAAACAAATGGCAGCAGCTGCTGTTGGAACATTTTTCCAGAAATGTACAAGTAGCAGCTTTCGTGAACTGAATGCTCTGTAGGTTGCACTGGAGTAAAACTGGAGTGCATTTAAAGTGAAACTTAACTAGTGTACCTACAGTGTAACCTTCGATGAAGAGCAGGCAGTTACAGATAATGGCAAAAGCTAGAACATAATGTAAAGCATACACACACTGTCCATGTTGTGGAACGTCAAGCAGCACGTTGCATGCAGTTGAAGGATTCGCAGTTTAATAAACAGATAAAAGGCACAGTTTAGTCAGTGAAAGGAAAAGGACAGCTCTAAGCTCAAGCAAATGTTTTGATGTCTGGACAAAGCCATTCTTAAGAGCCATGGCAGCCATTTGGCTCCAGGATTCAGCTGCCCAGCGACTGCCCAGATGAATACCAAATGTCTCTGTCTGTCTTCTCTGGATTTTATCTCAGTGGGTTTACTCTGTGCTCTGCTGTTCAACAGAGCACAGGCATGACACCGCACACACCCTCCCAGGTGAAAGTACTTCTTAGTATATTAGATTAGCTTAAAATCAGATCATCATGGAGTCAGTGATGAGCTTTTGTCTGAGCGGTGGCCATAACTCTGCCACTTGTTTGTGTGAAAGGCCCCTACTTGTCTGTCAGTGGGAGGTCAAGCATGCTGGCACTTTTCACACGTACAGGAGCAAACAGCAGTTACTGGTTCAATGCCACAACAGGAGCCAACACAGACTTGGTAGAAATATTTCATGTATGCCTTCCCACAATGTGCATCTAATGCTTAATGTTGTTTGAATGAGGATGACAGAACGCTATGTCTTACTGACCCAAAAAAGCAAAAAGCTGATCAGCTGTGAGCAGAGCTTTGAGACAGCTGCTTAGAGAAACTGATAGATAAATGTTTCCTTTTAAAAAATGTGATGCTGGCAGAAGCAGTCTTTGGACGGGTAATTATGATTCAGCCCTTGAGGCCGTGCATCTAGATTTCTAGGTTGAATGGAGTCGTTTTATGATTTACTCGACTGGCAAGGAGACGGCAAGATGCTTGTTTATGGCAGCGATTTGTGAGCAGCGCTAAGTGAGAGGCTTTTGGCAGAAATCGCTATCGCTATTTTTGGATTTCAAGTCTCTGTTGGGTATTAGGGAACAGGCTTTGTCTGTGATGAACCTCCATTATGTAAAGAACAGTGCACATGAAACATTGCTGATTTTCTACAATGGAGAGAAGGCAATATTTCTTGCCTCAGGTTGTTAAAAAATACTATTATATTTTGTTTTTGAGAAACAGTTGTTTTGTTCTTCTTAAAAGAATTATCCAATATGGTCTCATTTGTAAAAGCTATACCAGATGATAAATCAAAGTGAAGTTCATGTAAACCCTGATATTTACAACAGCAGCAAAGCAGAAACTCCACTGAACATTTCATTTATTCCTTGCTTCTGTTATTTATTCCTGTCTCTCACTTTGCTTCTGGTTCTGTTCCTCTGGCTCCATCTCTTTTTTGCTGTTGAGATATTGAGACATAAAACACACAGGGTTTCGCTTTCTCCCTGTGTGTTTCTCTTCATACATTATTAATGTTACTTATCCTGCCTCCTTTTCCTTTTCCTTTGCAAATTAATTGGTTGCTAATTTTATCTGAGAGCTAATTTTAAAGTATTGCTCACTTTCAGAATGCCTTAAGGTGCAAGGAAAGTTAGGAGCAGCCTTTTGTTGCACTTTTCATGTTTTGTAACTGGTCTGTAAAACTAAATGCATATTTATAATATGGTTTTATGTATTGTCACACCTAGTGCTTTTAGTGGTGTGGTTGCTGTCCTGGTAGGAGATTCTACAGTGAGACAGATTTACTTTACAGAGTCTCTGAAGATGTATTTTACAATCACTGAAAAATATTATATAAATATTGTTCCCAGTGTTGTGGTACTTGAGTCCAGGACTCCGACTCTGACTGGAGTCCTGATTTTCAGGACTCAGGACTCGTGACTCGACTCAGACTTGGATTCAGACTTGAGCATTGACTGCATTCTGACTCAAAATTTAGAAACCAGGACAAGGTTTTTTTCTGTAATAGGGCATAATATTTTGGCATAAGATATTGACACTGTTCACTTCTAAATAGTGTGTTTGTTTGGCTATTGTGTCACACACAGTAAGTAAACTCCTTTTAAAATGGCAAGAGCTGTATTATTGTGTTCAATGTAGACCTTGATGACTCAGACTCAGGTAGCAGGGACTCAAAATGGAAACTCTTGGGTAATGGGGACTCGACTTGGACTATTTTTTGGTGGCTCAGACTTGATTTAGACTCAAACTCTGGGGTCTTGAGATTCAACCCAACTTGTTCCACTGTTCTTTTCTTATTATCTGGATTTGTTTGTATAGAATGTACTGCATATACCCCCCCCCCCCCCACCACTACTCCTCG